AACAATACCAACCAACCAACCCATCTGTTGTTCGCATTCTTTTTTTTTATTAACATTTCGGCCGATGTATTCTTCAACCTTCTTCAGCTTTAAATTTCTCTCGAAATGGCTATTCAAAGAAAGAAAAAAGAATAAAGAGAGAAAGTTTTGCAACCGAGAAAAGGTTACTGAATAAGGAATAATCAAATCGGACTTGGGAAATTATATAGTAATTTTTATAACATTAACAAAATACAATACTCGCCAGCGGCGTGGATTAGGTAAACCACTGCTAGAGATGGACTACGTAGACATCATATTACCCCCACTTACAATAGTGTACAGCGTATTTATGAGGATTGGGACATACCCATGACTGTTCATAGGTACGGTATATAACAGAAAATGTGATAGAAAATAAATAGAAAATAAAAGAAGAATTAAAAAGGAAAAAGTAGAAACGTTAAGAAATAATAACGAGGAAGATAAATAAAAGAAAGAAAAAAACAAAAAGAAAGAAAGAAACAGGTGGAACGAAAGAAAGAACAACAAAACAGCGAACAAAGAAAGAAAGGAAGATAAAGAAGATAAAATAAAGCAAAAAGAAATATAAAAAGAAAGAAAAAGAAATAGTCGACGCAAACTAACCAATATTACGCATTTTTTTTATTTGTAATTGACATAACGCATATATTGCGAAATCTGAAGTAAAAATATTGTATTACGTCTGTGAATAAATTAGGGAGGGATAACTTGCTTATAAAATCCATGTTCGAAATCTTGTTTTCATAGTCAGTCATTTATGCGCCGTAGGCGATCATGGATCGTATTTTTTCCCGCAGTAGGTTGACATTTCTTTCTGCGGTAGACCAGATACCATCCAAGGCTATAGAACACGGTCTTTCCGGTTATTTAACCGTAGTTTTTTTTTTCTTTTTTTTTTGTGGGGAGGGGAGAAGAAGAGGAGGATTCATACCATTCCCAACGGTATTAGCACGTAAATGAATGGAATTCATTCGACGGGAATTCAAACTCGGCTCTCCGATTCTTCAATCCGAGCCGTTATTCTAATTTTAACTGAACATAAATACTGACCGCTTGAACTGGTGAAACATAGGCACTTATCTTAGCCACAAAGCAATAACTCTGTAGTTAATTGACTGACACAAAACGAATTTCATAGAAGATTAAAACGGTTAACTTTATACGGGTTATTTTTAAAGTGCAATTTAGTCTGGCATAGGAACAAAAATAAAGTGAGTCGAATTAAATCCAAAATTTAAGGTCTCAATACTTACTTGAATAAAATCTACGCCATAGAGGAGGTGGCCGTACATTATTAATTACATTTTTTGATTCATCAATCATCGAAATAAGAAGGCAGGAAGAATAAAGTCGAGAAACAAAGGAACAACGAAAGAAGCAAAGAAAGAGAAGCAAAGAAAATAAAAAGGAGAAATGAATGATAAAAAGAAAGTAAAAGAAAAAGTAGTACATAAAAAGGTTACCAGGAAAGCATGAAAGAAAGACAGAAAGGAAGCATTATGAAATGAAGGAGAAGCATGTAAGAAAAGGAAGAAAATTGGAAATAAGTATAAAAGAACGTGTTGAAAGAAAGAATGAAAATAGGGAGAGATTTTTTTTTTTTTAAAGGGATGAGATATAAAATGACGAGAAAAAAAATTAATAATAAATGAGAAAGAAAGAGAGAGAGAAAGAAAAATAAAAAGAATCAAGGAGTTAGAAACAAACGGAGGCAGAAAAATATTAAAAAAGATGAAACAAACAAGAAAGAGAGAAGGAACAGAAGAAGAAAGAAAGAACGAAAGAAAAAAGAAAGAAAGAAAACTCATTATGTCAATAGCAACTAATCATTTACTTTGAGTGTTTCAGATCTCTTGACTTCCGGTGAACGTTCGCAAATCTACACATGACAACAATTTCCTAGCAACACAGACTCTCGAATACGCATGTCACGTCAAGAGAGCCTTTGTGTGTGCGCTGGAATCGTCCGAGTTGTCATAGATCGTGACGTTTGCTAGCTCTGTTTACATTTATCTTCGAATAGTAACGACCACAAAACAAGAGGAATGGTTTATCAAGGGAATATTCTAACGACCGGCATGTGATACCCGCCGGCTTTTAGTCGTTGTGGATGGCAACTTCATCCAAAAACACATAAACATGGGCGTGGGTGTTGTGAACTTAGTCGATAAAGATGTTGCTTTTGTAAGGATTTGGTATTTGCTTTGAGATCCAGGCTACAAACGATATTTTTTTTATTCTTTTTCCCAAGTACTATCAAAGGATATAAACATCCCAACAGTGTTTCCATAATATTGTTGTCCATATTTGAACCTCATAAAAGAAAGCCTGCCCAGAGTTTGATGGCCTCTTTGTCATTATTTTTTTATGCTTAAGCAATATTATTTTAATCTTAGCGAATAGATTTAAAACCGGTTAAACATTGTTACCACATTCATCACATTGATCCTTACTTAGTGGTTCTCACCGGCGAGTAACAAAGCAGACCCTAATATATATATATATATATATATATATATATATATATATATATATATATATATATATATATATATTTATTTAAAAAAAAATGTGATATAAATAAATAATTATATTTATGCTCTACTTTTGTATCGAGCGCTATTTTTAAAAAATAATAACAAAAATACTAAAGAACTTTGGATTATTTACCTAACGAGTTCTTTCCTATTTTCTATATATTTTAACCCCCCCCCACATATATATATATATATATTTGAAGAACACTCGCACTAATAGTACTTGCTCTATAATACTGGCTCCAATAGTAATCCGTATATAGAATAGTGTAGAAAAGAGAATAGCGATCCGTATAATAATAGAGGGTAGAGTAGAAATGCAGATCAATCTTGACGTGACGCATCTTCTTATATGCATTTCCTCTATGGTCACGTGAACCACTTAATTCAATAATGCGATCGCCTGTGTTTGCTCACTGGCGATCTATGTTCAAACTCAAACAGCGACACTTTATTCCTATATAAGACATATCGGTTTATCTGAGATTAGATTAGCATTTATTGCTATATAGGAGACTAGATTAGTATTTAGCGCCATATAGAAAATTTGATTAGCAGATATCGCGATATAGGAGATTTGATTATCATTTATCGCCATATAAGGGATTAGATTAGAATTTATCACTATAGAGGAGATTAGATTAGCACAGGGGTCGGCAGCTTTTTGAAGAGAGCGAACCAGAAAGCTATGCATTGTCTTGGAGGAGAACCATGATATCAAATGTATAATAAAAAAAATTGTCTCGATCATAGCCTGCTTTGTCCAGAAGGGTACCTTGGTTTGGAAGTTTAAAGAAAAATCAACAAATTTAATGATATATTATTTAAACGGGGTTCCTTATTTTCCTGCAAGATAACACAATCAACAAAAAATGCAAATTCCTTACTAAAAACGAAATGCAGTTAAAAATGACAAGTTAATTTCTATGACACTTGTTTCTGCTTATTGATGGATAACATCTTTGCATCAGGTGAAATATTTGTCGATGACAGGAGCAAAAACATCATCCAGTTGGTCATTATCCAAACTTGTTTTTAAACGATTTTTTTTAGTAGATTTCATTTTCGAAAGAAAAGTTGTTCCCAAGCATATGTACTTTCAAATAATGATACCATCCTTTTCGCATTATTCAATAGGCTTTTCTATTTTTCCGCTGAGCAAAACATTTCTTGTAGAAGTCGGCAGTAAATTCGGAATGAAATTTTGAAATCAAAAAATCGTCCCACTGTAAGTCAGTTAACTCCAAATGATATTTTTCCTGCAACTTGCTCCACAATTTAATTGCATAATTAGTTTCCATGTAATAAGCTGGCGGTCCGGAAAAAAAATCCTTCGCAGGCCGGATGTGGCCTGGATGTCGGGGGGTGCCGAACTGTGGATTAGCATATATCGAAATATAGGAAATTAGATTAACATTTATCACCATCTAGGTGATTTGATTAGCATTAATCGCCATATAAAAGACTAGATTAACATTATTTACATTATTCCAACTATTGTCCTCATCTTTGTTACCATATTTATGCTTCGGCCGTTGTACGCTCCGAACTTCTTCAGGTGGTTGGAATGTCGAACTGAACCCTTTATTTCGCACACTGGGGTAAAAGAAGGCCGGAGCGTACAACGGCCGAAACGTTGTGATAAATATGACAACAAAGATGAGGACAATAGTCCGAATAATGTAAATAGTGTACATAATACCTCATCTCAGAAATATAGAAAGATACTAGATTAGCATTTATCTCCGTATAGGAGATTAAGATTAGCATTAATCACCATATAAAAGATTAGATTATCATTTATATCCATATATGATATTAGATACTCTAAGATATTGGATGATTTTATTGCTTGCTTTGTTTTGGAGCTAATTTGTATGAATGAAAATCTTTTACTAATACAATGTATGTACAAACCTTTAGTTCCATCGCTTGCATTAATCTCAGATTCAAGCATCTTTTAAATTTAAAATTGACTCGTTTAAAGCTTGTAACAACGTTTAATTCGTAAAATAAACAACGTCTTTTGTTTATTTCACTTGTTAATCATGTAGCCATACTTTGCTGATATTTACCAGAAAATAAATAATAGATTTACGTTGTCTTGGGCGAAGTAATTTGAAAGATATACCTGTTCGTTCGGAGAGCCGATTTCGAATTCTATTCAGATCCATTACATTCACTTACGTGAATGCTTGGGAAAGATATGAATCTTCTTCTCCTCCCAGCTATGGGTAAATAGTAGAACAGAACGGGTTCTATAGCTTTGAGTGGCAACTGGTCTACCGCAGAAAAAATGACAACCTACTACGGGGAAAAATCTTCCTCGTCAGTTATGTATCGAAAGATACATGATCGCCTAAGCGTGTATCACGCATGACCCATAACTGACTGACCTGTTTGTTTAAATAGGGCAGAGAACGAGAGATCAACGCATGAATGTCTCTGGTTGATGGAACCAAAGTAAGGTTTTGTTTGGTTAATGATTTTTTTAAACAGAAAATATAATTGTCATGGGTCCTTACCTATAACTACAGAATGAAGTCTTCCTAACACTATGTATACTACGCCTCTCTCGAGAGAGGGTCGAATTGAGTCGAGCCGATTCGGCTGGACGGTGAGATCTCTGTCTCTGATCAGAGAGGAACCCTGACGAGGCTCCGCCGAAGGGCAGAGTCTCGTTCGGGGAGGTTGAACAACCCGATCCCGTTTATACGGGTTCTACGGGCATTTTCTGGCCGAGTACGGGCTCGGGAAACCCACGTTAAACTCGGCCTTGTGCCACATGCAACCCTCGTGAGGTGGTGGCTAGATACCGAATCAAGCCGATTCGGCTGGACAGTCGATCTCAGTCTCTGACCAGAGAGGAACCCGGACGAGGTTCCGCCGAAGGGCAGAGTCTCGTTCGGGGAGGTTGACCAACCCGATTCTGTTTTTGCAGTTTCTACGGGCATTTTTTGGCCGAGCCTACGGGCTCGGGAAACCCACGTAAAACTCGGCCTTGTGCCACATCTTTCCCTCGTGGTCAAGTAAATATCTAATCGAGTCGAGCCGATAGTAGATCACTCCAAACCAGACTGAGTCATACTAACACCTTCCACATCTTGTATTATTATTTCGTGTAATATACCTTCGTTATTTCTACTCTTGTGTTCGTGTTGTTCTTCCTTGGTCCTAACCTGGACCATAATAATAATAAGATCAATAAAATTTAAACTCTAATGAAATCATCACTGGATATTTTTTGTGCGAGAAAATTACAGTTATTTCCTTAAATATGTGTAAAAGGTCCTGTAAGGAAGAATAAATGTTATTATAGAAATGATATAGTATAGAGAGAAATGCGGTAAGTGGTTAAGGTTTAAGAAAGCTTTATTTTATGTGCTCAGAATCCTCAGAAGAATAATTTTACAAAGTGTCAGGCTAATAAAATCCACACATCTTTATGACTCCATCGTTTAATTTCCATGTAGTAATTGGAGAAGTAAATTGTGCATCTACCCTTTTACAATTGCTTCCCTCTCATTCTCTCTCTTTCGTTGTCTCTCTCTGTTTTTTTCTCTTTTTCTAGCCCTCTTTACTTTTCTCTTTTTATTCCCACTCTTTCTTTCTTTCTCTCACATTTCTCTCTTTTTTCTTTTCTGTTTCTTCCTCCTTATTTCTCTCATTTATTTATTTCTCTTGCATTCACTTTTCTTTCTCTCTAACTTTCTCGCCTCCCACTTCTTCTCTCGCACGCTCTCATATTCTCTCTTTTTCTTGCTCTGTCATATTTCTCTATCTTTCTTTCTTTGACAGATTTCCTTTCTCTTTATTTATTTTTTATTTCTCCCCGCCCAATCTCTCTCTCTCCCTCTCTTTCTCTCTTTCTTCTTATAGATCTCGCTCCCTTTATTTCTTTTTCTTTTCTTTCTTTCTTTCTTTCTTTCTTTCTTTGGTACACTCTTGATTGACTGTCTTTCTTTCCACCTCCCCGTTTGGCTCACTATCTTTCTTTTGCATTCTCAATCTCTTTCTCTTTATTTCTGTTTCATTCTTTTTTCTCTGTTCCTCTTTTTACAAGTGATAGGGAAGAGTGGCACTAAAAGAAATTATTAGACACACATCAAAATCTTATCAAATGACAAATCATTATAATTGTTTAAATATATATTTCTATTTGAACGGGAAACCTTTTATCACACGCACGTAGATAGATAGATAGTTAGATAGATAGATAGTGCACAATGAAATATATTTTCAGCCGTTCTCACAAATCATAACAAATCAACAGATTATCCGTATATCTCATTAATGATTATATAAACATACATTCATGCATATTTACACACATGCAGACTATATATATATATATATAAGTTTCTAAAAAATAAAAGTTTACTAAATCAGAGAAATGAATTAGCTATTTTTTGCCGTCATTATCATAAACTTAACTTATATTTACTTAAATAATATTTGAATAAAAAATGTGACCTGGTAATATACATACTTATAATTAATATGAAAAAATAATTTTACATAGTGTAAGTAATTCCAATACATTTACTTATTTTAAAAAGAAATATAGTCTATTAAAAAAGTGAAAATATTTTAAAATTGTAGTTGAATAAAATGAATTCTAACCTAAACATCCCCCAAAAAAGTATACAAATAGAAAAAATGCCGTAAGAATTTTTGCCGTTAACAATAATTTAAAAAAAAAATATCCAGACGACATGCATTTAACGGATGTCAGAATTCGTTGAAAAATACATCCCTAACCCTCAAACGTAACTAATAACTGATACAACAAAAGTTAATAAAAATGAACACGCAACCACCCCTTGTCTGGATGAATGGATTTCTCTGTATCCTTGGAAACAGTAAATTATGATTTTTTTGCCGTGCCTTATCCAAACAGCGATTAATGCTCGACAAGCGTACATATAAATTTTAGATCAAAATAGAATTCTTTTCATCTTTCATTCAAAATGCTCAAATTGTAGGAATTCGTTTTCACAGCGTCGCCCACGTGACGACAACAATGTTTAAACGGAACGCTGATCTTATAAAACTTTCAGTTATCTGTTTGGATAAGTCTTGTTCTTAAGTCCATCGTCTTTGTCATGTTGAATTGATAATGTTAATTATATTTTATGAATATGTCCTGAAGATGGTTTATTAGACCGAAACGTCCGACGTTGACATTATATTAACATTAAAACAGCATAATTGCATATTAAGATTTTTTTTTTGTTTTTGTTTTGTTTTTTTTTGTTTTTTTTCCGTATATTTTTCTTCATACTGTCGGATCTATATCCATATATTTGCTTACATATATACATATATATATACGTATATATATATATATATATATATATATAAGTATATACGTACATATATATATATATATATATGTATATCTATGTATGTATAAGAACCTCAAAAAGTCGAAAAGAGACACCACATCTCTTGTAAATATTCAGCAGATACAACAACTAAAATGTATAGCACATGTAATTTAAATAGTAAACAATAACAAAATCGTGATGCTGACTGTCCACCATACTTCTAACACAATGTTAAGAAGGAAATCTCTCATCGACACAAGATCGTGTAATAGCAACCAGTAGACTTGAGACTTATTTTCTGAACAAATGGTTCATTTTTTTTTCGATTTTGTTCATTTCGCCCAATAATGATGCTAACTGCTCGGCCAATGAATAACTCATGTTGCCTGATAAAGAAACGTCTCATCTTTCCTATACCGTATGCAGAAATAAAATGAACCTATCCAAATCACAACTAAATTAATATACGAAAGAATTATCTCGCTACCATTTCTTGATATTCTTTAATTCGGACTAAGACCGGTTTGAAATTAACTCCGTACCGAAAGTCCGCAAATAAATACCTCGCAAATTTTTACCCTTATTGCAATAATCAGGTAAAACCCTGGATAATTATAGAATGAAAATCTTTAGAATTTACAAACCTGAAGATATTCTTGATGAAGAAAAATAGTGAATGTATGTTTTAAATCCACCGAAATCATTTCATTTAAAATTTCATTAACCAAAAAAGCAAAATCAACAACAACCCACCAAATTTAAATATAATATAAATTATAAACAACCCAAAAAATAAAACTTGTTATATTACATTACCTAAAAACTCCTAAAATATTTAACTAAAAAAAACTTTATCTAGTCCCAATGTCTAAAGTGTCATAAATATTTCAATTGATTGACTGATTCGTTTGCAGGTTATTTAAAGGCAGAATTTTTTTTTTTCATTTTAATTTTTTTTTTTCTTTTTTTGTTTTTCGGAGATAATAATTATTTAGGGATACAAGTCTTATTATCCAATTCCTGGGCGGGGGAGGCGAAGATGTGGATTCATACAATTCCCAAACATATTTGCGCGTAAGTGATTATAACGAACTCTTGGAATTAGATCTCTGTTCTCCAATTACCGGTAACACGACTCGATCTTCAGGTGCTGAATTGATAATGAACCTACTCTTGGAAGACGAAAAAGAATGAGCCTGGTGCACCTCTGTGCATATGGCATATCAGGTCTCAGCTGTACATGTATGAACTGATAGAAATAGGCAATGCAGCTCGTCGGAATATCTCCTTGCGGGAGCTTTGCATCTCTGGGGTTGTAGACTGGAAAACAGTTAATCGCATAAAAGAGCGGTTAAACGTTTTTGAACTTTGTCAAGCCCGGAAAGAAAGGATTTGGCAGCTCCAGCTCAGAATGACAACTATATTCCATATCTCCGCTTGAGCATCCCAATTCTCTCATTATCTAATGCACTATATTTACTTGAGCATAGCTGCTTGTTCTGACATATCAAAAAACAAGAGAAGACAAGCATAGATACAATGAACCAACACCTTCTAACATAAGATGATCAACGTTTTTCCCATCTCCCCGTTATTTCCAATACTGTCACTCTGCTTGAAAACCCTGCATCGAAAAAAAAAAAAAAAAGTTTGTCCTTTACTCTTCTTTCACACCCGAGGTTTCCGTGGCTGTAAATGACAATGCATCAATGATAATGGCAGCGCGAGCCTCTCTTTCATCTTACGCAGGGACTTGAACTGATCGAAGAATGATGCTTCTTGTGGTTACGTCATATTCCTGCCGGGAAAAATCGAAGGCTTGGCTGGAAACTTTCATTGCTATATTCTTTGAGTTTGTTCTTTTATTTCATTCGAATCGTTCAGCTTTTTCATTTCGATCGATCGATCGTTCTTTGCTTGGTGTCTGGTTGGGAATAACTTCTGCCCAACCTGTGTGACTATTTCCGACGGCCCACAAGATAAGGATAAGAAAAGAAAATGTTTGAAATGTGGAGGAGTCGGGGATTCAGTTGTGGGCTGCTTTTGAATGCAAGGCTTCCTTTGATGTTTGCTACAAAACGAAACACTGGGTAGAAGAAGAAGAAGAAGAAGAAGAAGAAGAAGAAGAAGAAAGAAGAAGGTGAATAAGAAGAGTACGAATGGCAAAAAGAAGAAGAAGATGATGATGATGTTGATGATGATGATTTCTTGGAGTAAGAAGAAAAAGAAGAAGGGGAGTGAGAACTGGAATAAAGAAGGGGAAGAAGAATAGTAGAAATGGAAGAAGAAGAGGAGGAGGAGGAGAAGAAGGGAAGAAGAAGGAAAACAAATGGAAGTAAGAAGAGGAAGAGGAGTAATAAGGTGAATAAGAAGAGGAAGAAGAAGAAGGGATAAGAAAAGAGATGACGAAGAAGAAGAGGAGGAAGAAGAAGAAAAAGGGATGAGAAAAGAGATGACGAAGAAGGAAGAAGAAGGGATAAGAAAAGAGATGACGAAGAAGAAGAAGAAGAAGAAGAAAAAAAAAGAAGAAGAATGGATAAGAATTAGAGATAACGGCGAAAGAGAGGAAGAAGTTGAAGAAAAAGGAGTAAGAAAATAAGAAAATAAGAAAAATAAAAAAGAGTAGGAATATACAAGCTATCACACCCATTGGACTGCCAAGGTCAATTACATCTATTTTAACATCTTTTGTATGCACTAACCTGACCCCTGTAGTTGTATAAGTGACGACATCGAGTCGTATAGAATAATATGCATTAAGCAATTAAACTCGTGAAGGTCAAATGCTTCATCATGTGAAGCCAGACGAATATAATTTTATTCTGATATGAATAGAAGGCAAATTATATTATGAAACTTTAATAACCCTGATATTCATTATCTACCTCTGATGTCAAAGAAAATCGTCGAAATTTGTTGTTCTTTCTGGCCATTTGCCAATGACGTCCTCTAAGAGAAAGACACTGTCATTCTTCCAGGGACCAATTTAACGCTACTCAATAATATTTCTGTGCAAAGAGATAGTTAATTCCACCTTTATGGTAATGGAAATGCCTTGATGCAATTCTAAGAGGCACAGAGGACATCAATTTTATAAGGAAAATCCCAGCCCAATTACTAGTCTCCAAATTCTTTTGCAGAACATTTGTTGTTTTTTTTTTGTTTTTTTTTTTGTTTTTGTTTTTTTTTTGTTTTTTTTTTTATATAGAAAACGGACGAGATATACAGAAATATGCGGAAGATATATCGGGTGTAACAGCAAAATTGTCCAATTGTTTGATTAAGCTTTGAACCGGTGTATCTTAGAAATGATTAAAGATATCTTACTGGAATTCTCCGAGGATTTTATAACTCTACCGGACACTACTTTGAGCAATACCTATCTATAATTAATCCCAAAGCATAGCAGAAGAATCGTGATGAAATTGATCATAAATAAAAATGAAATGTTCATTATTATTTAATCAAAGCTAAGCATTGGAAGCTCATTAAAGATGGAAGCATAAATACCGGCATTATATTTCTAATTGATAGAACAATTCTGGTACAAATTGTTAGGCATCAAGAGTTGCTCCGCCTTTTAGCAATGACATTCTTAACCCTCTCCTGAATGCAGCGCCATCTTTTTTAATGAATTCTTCACTGTTCTCTTCCAAGGTCATACTGTTGGATTTTTTGAGGACTTGCCGATTACTGTGGGTCATCTCACAAGATTTTTTTTGGTCAGTTAATTCCAGATGTTGAAGTTTAAGGTGTTCAAATCAGGCGATGAAGGAGACCAGTTTTGCTTATGGCACAACCAGTTCGCGAACTCATCGCTGCTGAAATGTTTGAGACACTGCGCTCATATGACATCGAACTCCATCCTGGCCTTATTGATCCTGCTGGGGTTTTGATTTTCACTAGCCTCAGGATATTCAGAAAGAATCCAGGTCTTTACCATTTACAAAATTTGATCATAGCGAACTCCTGTCAGACTCTAATCCTTCTCAACTATGATTAATGGCATCTTCTTACTATCAGAAGCCACACAGGCAAAAACCATTAGCTTGGGAGTGTTTTCGCTCTTGAAAGTGACGTTCTTGTTTCTCTCATGAGAATCTGAAGCCAGAATATGGCCACTGCATCTGTTTGTGCCCACATCCCGTGTAAAATTCTTCTCATCTGTGTAGAAGATTATTCCAGGATCATTTTCTAACTTATTCAGGAGTATCTTCGTCCTCTCTAAAATTCTAACTTTCTGTCCTAGTGTAATAAGGTGCCTCACAAGTTTCACGTACGATTTCATTTTCAAGTCATTTTTTACTATTCTTTAGGCTCTGATAGCAAAAGCTCCACTCTCACGTGTCAAACGTCTTATGGGTTGAGTTGGATCTTTTTAATTGCTCGCTTTAGCTCTAGTCGAAATGATGATTTCTCTTGCTGTTGTAACCTCCTTATCCAGTTTTCCTCTCAACTGTTCTCTCTTTTTTAAAATTATTCACCGCTCTCTTGATGGTTCTTGAATGGCCTTTGAAGACGGAACCTGGAGTATGGATGTTGGTACCATTACGGAATAATTTTTCCTCTCACCATTGCTCACTTGAGAAGACAGTGGGGCTGAAACCAAACCATTTTAACCTGTTCTCTTTCTACCTGGATAACTGAAAGTAATTTTTGGTGATTCTTACGACATAAGAATTTTTAGTGATTCTTATGACATTAAGGTGACTAAACGTCTTATCGGAAAACCTAGAAAAAAAGAAACTGAATGTATTTCTTACATATTAAACATTTTGGGTGGTAGACAATTATGCTGTTATAAGATTTGGACAATTTTCCTGTTACAGCCGTTATACCGAGATATTTCATCATTTCATTTTACAGAATGCGGAAGCTAGACCAGAATGTCGAGTGATTGTCCAGAATACACCGTGAGCGTAGACTTCTGACAGTGAGGGGTTGTCTCTAGGCCGCGTTTTTGGAATGAAAATTTGCTCACGTCACACAAAAGGTAAGTTCGGCTGAAAGTGTGCATTTAACCCTGCGGCAAGATGGTTAAAGGGAGATTTGATGTCAGAACATTATTATCAATAATTCTCTCCTTCAATTTACCGAACCTAGTTACCATATTCTTAATATTTGATATAATGCAAAAATATCACAATGACAAAATCGGTCACTGATTATTTATAGCTATTCATACTGGGAGACATGCATGCAATTACGAATAATCCACAATAATATTTTAAATTTTGAAATCATATTCATTTTTGGTATATCCATTATTTGAAACTGTTCCTAAATCATTGATTGCCTTTTAATCATTCCGTCCTTACCTTTGTACTTCTATCCTCTTTGCACCTACGATCTAAGTAATGAATATAAAACTAAAACGGCGTGAAGTCAGCAGAGGGCCGGTAAGCGTTGAAGCGTCGACACGCTCTCCGCACCCTGAGTATTTAGAGAGGCTAGTACACACGTGGCGGAATGTTAACCCTACGAGTTCGTATACGTTCCCTTCAAGTTCTTCCTCTCTCTTCCTCCTAGAATCGATGTCACCACGCCTGCCAATCTCGTATAATAAAGGAACAAGAAAAAGAAAATGTTTTCGATGATGCAGTGACGTTGGGGTCTGAAGAGCTGAAGTCAGTAGTGGCACGAAGGAGAATCAAGACAGGAACAACTGACAATGACACTCAAAAGAGACAATGAAGAATCAATTATATATATATATATATATATATATATATATATATATATATATATATCGTCGTCGGCGTCGACCCTCCCGTCGAATTCGACGTATGAGGAAACCGACAGCCCGACAACAGCACAAGAGATTTGATTATAGTGGTGAAGGTTTCGTGCAGGACCATCCACACTTTTTGAAGGGCTGAATACAGAGACCTGGTGCACTACGTGCCACAAGGTCCCCAAACGACCCTCCGCAGCTTGTGAATTCAGAGTTGTCCTTCTCCTAGACCAGTTACCATCCAGTCTGTCCTGCTATTTAACCATAGCTGGAGGGAGAAGAAGAGGATTCATACCTTTCCCAGGGGTATTAGTATTACTCCATACATATATATATATATATATATATATATATATATATATGACTTCTGACATGTTTTCCTTTAGGTTTTATTTCATCACCCATTTATCATCTTGAAACGTTTTTATCACCTGCAAAATTATAGCATGAATAATTATTATATTGGACTTCACCTAATACACTATTCGTGGGCAACTCAAATCAATGGTAATGGTGGGATTAACCGTTTTCTTCTAGGGAAACATTCGGCCAGTGCTTCCGTTCAGTGGAATACATAAAATATTTCTTTTTAAAAGAAATATTCTGGAAAATAGGTTTCTCCAGGTGCTGTTATCTCCCTCTCTTTTTCTCTCTCTCTCTCTCTCTCTGTGTGCCTGTCTGTCTATCTGTCTCTGTCTCTCTTTTTCTCTCTCTCCAGTATTGATGGGGATTTCCTCGCTACCTTATTTGTGCACTAGTGCGGAATATATATATATATATATATATATATATATATATATATATATATATATATATATATATATATATATATATGATTTTTTCTTTTTGATTTGTATTTATTAGTTATTCATTTGTTGCTGTTGAAAGTCTTCAAGTTGTGCCATTTCTGTTTTTTTTTTGTTTATTTTTTTGTTTTTTTTTTGTTTTTTTGTTTTTTTTTTTTTATAATTCTGTAGCGGCAGTTGACATGGCTTGAAAAAGAATAGATCTCCCTGCGACCTGCAGTTAGAGATAACACTTAAGGTGTTGTATAGTCACCCACAAGGATGCGAAAACTATTTTGGACTTTATCGGGATTAGAAATTGATGACTGAGCAGCTTCTACCCACATATGGTAGCAGTACACCATTTTAGGCTTCATCTTGTAAAAGTAAAGGATAACACGAGGAGCCAGGTAATTCCTGGAGCGCTACCGGGAACCAACCATTTTTACAGCATCTTTAGGTATGGATCCTACGTACGGGTGCCACTTGAGGTCTGGGATGAGTATACTATCCATGATTTCATCACAATTTACGAATTATTATCTACCAAAATCAGAAAACTACCAACACAGAAATTTCTCGTAAGAGATCCCGTTAACACCTCTAATATTATCTTGCTTCCATTGTCTTCATCATCTATAACGAATAGCCTTAAATCACTATTTGGTTAACAATAAGAGGAGCAAGAAGCAGACCAAAGCGATGACTTGCTAAATATCTCACCTGCATCCCCAGTGCACTCGTTGCCTCCACTGGCACCGACGAACATTTTAACCCCTTGTCCTATCCCGTGTCAGAATAGGAAGATCCAGAACTTCTACAATTATGATGATGTTCCTCGGATGTACAGGCTGATATCGATCTCTCACAGATGTGCCAGTGCCTTCCTTTGTCTTTTCTACAAATACTTTGACGGTAACTGCTCCGACGAAATACTTTCGCTACTTCCCAAACTGCATGAATTTAAGCGTACTACTAGCTAGTCCCACACTTTCACTGTCGAACGGTAAATGTAGTTGTCTCTTCTACTTCAATAGCTTCATGTTTCGCACTTCCTGTTTGTGGAACTCCCTTCCCCTTACTTCCTTCCCTGATAGCTATAATCTTCAGTTATTCAAATGCAATGTCAAGCAACATTTCCAGATGCCTTGATCTATTCCCCGTCCTTCTCTTCATTCTTTCCTCCATCACGGCTCTTTACTCTTGCTCCCACTCTCTGTAACCCATTGAGTGCTAGTGGCACTCCCGCCTTACTTGGGGTGAAAAGCTTTTAAAATACGTTTATACCAAAACATATAACATGTACAGAAAATAATCTACAAACTTAATATATCTATAAAGCATGGGCGCTTTCACATGCCGTAACTGTTAGCAAGTTTGTCCCTAAGTAAATAAGGATTGAATACTAAGTTTGATCATAAATGGATGTCCTATGCGGTCGCCTTTGTAACGCATCTAAGCTACGTTTAGTAAACTACTACATATCTTTATTTATATTATTTATAGTGGAAACGCTACGGAGTGAACTGGAAGGTTCTTAATAGACACCAAGGTATTGCTACGAATCATATAGAAGGTAATTAGGGAACCTCAACGTGGTACAATGGTTTGCAAGCTTGACTCGCTAGAAGCAATTACGACTGAATACTGAAATCGATCCTCGATGGTTGCTTCATACTTTTGGCCTTGTAACATATCTAATCTACGCTATATATCTTTATTTATATTCCGACTATTGTCATTATCTTTATTGTCGCTGTCATAACGTTTCGGCCGTTTTGCCCACCGGCATTCGTCAGGTATATTGATCTAGGTAACCTACTGGGAATTCTGAATAGAACCTTTTATTTAATCTACGAGGCTAGAGCGTTCCATTCTTCCTGAGTAGTGATATCGTCTAGTTCTTGTTTTATTTAGTAGTGTTCAATTATTGTTTCCATTGACCCAGGGATTGAACTCGCAATCACTATGTCAGCAAATTCACAAACTAACACTTTTACCCACTAGGGCATTGTTTGTATATAGCTATAAAGCATGCATTTACTCTGAAAAAAAGTATAAAATCTTGTACAAAATATATATTGCTAAATCTAAAATAAAATTGCGATCGAAATATTTAGATTAAATAATTAAAAGATGTTGATACGCCACAAAACAAACACAACAGAACGAAATACCTTTCAAATTACACCGTAAAAATGATCACATATGTCATGAAGGTACATGAAAATAAGGTACTAGGAGTTAATTCCCGATATTCCGAAATTAATATATAATTCAAAGTAAATAAAAAGTGATTAGACACAATAGTAAATAACCAATTCAAAAGACATGTGGAGAACAAAGCTTGTCAACGCTTTTGAGTAATTTCTATTAATTTAAAGTCTTCTATGTAATTAGCCTCATAGAACTCCAGCAACTCTTTGGTCTGGATTGTGTCAAATTCTTCTTCTGACAAACTACTTCATTCAATCCCGTTTTTAGTTGTTTTGGCAAAGTTCCAAATAATCCGGTCATTCTGGGCGCTTCTCCAAAATGTCTACTCCAAAGGTTCCCAATGTCTATGGCTAAGGTCTTATTTCTAATATTTTTCACCTTCTTTCCTCTTGTTTTCTAATGCCACAGATATGTCTATAAGCAAGTAGATTCTTTTCTTTGTTTACCAAATATAAATTCAGGTTTTCTTTCAAAGACGTTATCGCCAGTCTGGCTCATAGTATTCTGAATTGTTTTATTCTTTTTATTATCTAGTAAATTATGTAATGAGAGAATTTGACAAGCCAAAGTATCGTTGTTTATGTAGATTGCTACCTTTCTTTAGAAATGTACGGTGTGATCTAATAGCGGATCTAATGAGCGTCAGGAGTCCAAATATCAGCTGTGGGATTACTGCGTATTTATAATACGTCTCCCCAAACATGTCAAGTCAAAGGTCAATCCTAATTGTCGACCTCCAATTATGAGCAAATAAAAGCTCAGGTGGAACCATTTAGCTCTCTAAGTCAATTTAATATAAGAGAAGGTTACGCTAACAAAAAAACCCTTCGGTTGTCATGGCTCGACGAACAATCTAAAGTGGGGATTAGTCTTCATAATAGACTGACATTGGCAAATATGATGTTTCGGTGACTGAGGGAGTATTTGCGCGATTGGGTCAATGATTGTGACTAACGAAGTTAAAAGATGGCTGGCCATGTGCCCCTATTTTTTTTTTATTCGTATGTGCCTGGAATCAGTCTGCAGAATTTAATTTCTATCCTGATCCTTTCTAATTTGATCAAGACTCTTGTCTCCAGGTCTGTTGTCTCCAAGGAAAATTCTGGTATTTTTCTGAAGTTTTCTTTCTCATTCATATCCTATATATCGTAAGTTAGCATGACCTCTTTCAGGTTTCGGGTGATTTGTTTTCCCTTATAGTTACTGATCGATGTAGTCTTCTTACATAGATAGCACGGCGGAATCACTGTGTGTCGAAATAGAAAAAAATTATATTGTAAGTTTTGCATCCAAGGACAAACTCTAGCATGTGCTGATGCCATTTATCCATAGTTCATATTGTATGATTGTCCCTATTCTGTAAGCTGTATTTTTGCACATTGAACTCTTCTAGAATAGCTCAAAAGCTGCCCTACAGGGTGGCATTTCAGCTAGCTTCTGTGGAGGGTTCTCGATTGGGCCATTATCACAATATGTCGGGAGTAGGGCGATAGGCGACAATAAACTACAGAAGAACTCAAAATTGCTCGCTTCATTTAAGTATTAAATTAAGCTTACTTTTTAAAAGTTCAACGATAATTCCTCACTTTTCTTTTTTTTTAAGCGTTTCACCCCAAGCAAGGCGGGGAGCCACTCGGATGCAAGGGGTTACAGGAAATAGCAAGATCAGATAGGAGTGATAGAAGAAAGGATGAGGGTAGTGGATAGATCAAGGAAACTGGAGATGTCGATTGACATTACACTTGAATAGCTGGAGATTATAGCTCACAGGGAAACAGGAGAAGGGAAGGGAGTTCCACAGGCGAGGGGTGCGAGACATGAAGCTATTGGAGTAGAAGAGACGGCTACATTTAGGAGTTTCGACAGTGAAGGGGTGAGAGCGGGATGCCAGCCTCGTAAGGCGCTGGAACTCATGACGTATGGGAACCAGCGAATGCAGCTCCTCGGAGCAATTACCATGAAAGTATTTGTAGAACAGACAGAGGGAGACGACGTCGCGTCTGTGAAAAGATAATTTGATGTCTTTACTTACCGTACACACGATTATTTTTATTTCATGGGTGACTTTCGCTGGATTTCGCAATTAATTTCAATTATTCCCAAATTATAAAAATTGTTATCGTACAAAGAAATTAGTCGCAAATAATCACGTAAAAAATCTCTGAAAGCAATCACAGTAATGAAAACTTGGGAATCCAAAATTGTAGAATTATAGGTCCGGATCCGTCCCGAATGTTTTTCATTTACCCACGGAGTCGTCTTGATTCTAAAATGGCATGCTATGTTGAGCTACGCCCTCTCGGAATAAACTTGAAAAAGAGTGACACAGTGACACACTGACATTCGCATTTATTATATAGATTTACAGTTTTATGACTATCTCCTCATAAGTTACCTGAAATTTGTCTAATTTTTGTTTTGAGGTATTTCTTACAAATACATTCTTTTCGTAATTATTACAAATTTTCTTTCGCGGGGTTTTCAATTTCAATGAGTGATCTTGCATGAAGAATATTCTTAATCAATTCGTACAAACAGAGAGCACATTTCGTATAATATTTACAGTGCCAAGCTACGCGCGCTTCTGAAGCAATAGGGTATTATACTTTCTTTCAATTTCCTCAAATTAGTTCTTTGATATAGAGCTCAATGACTCAGTGATAACTAGGATAACAGTGGCTGGAACAACATGCACCCTGGAAACTTCATCCGGAGTTCGGAGATTTTCTTGAACCTGTATAATTTTTCCATTGTATTATGGTCACCAGAAACATCCAATAAAACAAGAAGGCATTAGCATGATTATGTTTGTTAACAATGGTGTACCTAATTTGATTGTTTCAAGGACGAGATCTGTTTGGATGTTGAAATTTCACGAGATTTTGACTTTTTGTCTTTTTCACGAATCGTCTCTCTCTTGTGGCGGTCCCATTTCGTTTCAACTCCAAGTCCATAATTCCTCCATAGGCACAGATGTATATGAGAGGTTAATTTATTAGACCAGCTTCTATTCTCTCTGCGCAAGCATTTCATAGTGGCTAATGATGTATTCTTATTGATAGTAGTAGTAATAGTAGAAGTAGTAGTATTCATGATTGTCGTTTACCAATTCCGTCATGTCGATTTTATTATTCATATTATCTTTACTTTCATATTTATTTTATTCGTATGTTCTTATTAGATATTGCGTGTTTATCACTTGAGTTCGCATGACAAACTGTCTCTCTAAAACTCCAGAACATTGTAGTAGTATTAGTAGTAGTAGTAGTAATAGCAGTAGTAGTAGTAGTTGTAGTAGTGTGGCTTGTGTAATGGTATCGACTCGGAGAGCGGAATCGATGAGCAGAGTTCAAAGTCCGTTTGAGTCATTCGCACAAATGCTCTTGGGAATGCTATAAATTAATCTCTTCATAGCGCATCAATTACATATCAAATAGCAGGGTAGATCGCGCTCTTTAGCTTTGAGTGGGCGGTTAGCCTATTAGAAGGATTAGTCTGTATTCAAAACTGCGGAGAAGGCAAGGTAAACCCGCTCCTTTATCATGAAGTTATGGCAATTGACAGAAAATAATAAGTAGGGCGATAAAATACTATATTTTATTTCGATTTTTTCAGTGTAATTCGATGATCTAGACCCCTACACCTAATAATAAATAGGGTAGTAGTGGCCTGAACGTTCTTACTAGATGTTGCGTAGTTACTGCTTGAGATGCATTGAAAACTTGTCTCATCAAATCTCCAGCACATTTCTCACTATTATTATTATTATTATTTTTATTTTCTTTGATTTCTGGCGTTTACACATTTCTTTCCGGGTCCCGCCCAGGGACCTAAGGTTATAAATGGCGTCATGACACTTTCCACTGACAAAAAAAAAAAAAAAAATTACATAGTTAAAGCCCTTCGTAAAGTGTTGGCTGTACTTGTCAGAACAATTTTTTGTATCTCCTTGAGGCATGGACTTCCAGGAATTCCTTCAATTAGTCTACTGCAATCTTTTCCAACCAGTCCTAGGGCTCCAACTACAACAGGGATTGTTGATGTTCCCATATGCCACATTTTCGAGATTTCTATTTCAAGGTCCTTGTACTTTGACAACTTTTTGAATATCTTCAAAGATACATGGCAGTCAGCAGGGACTGCCATACCAATAAGGAGGCACCGTTTTTGTTTGTGGTCTTTAATAACAATACCTGGCCGGTTGGCCTTGATTGTTCTGTCAGTGTGTATTGTGTAATCCCATAGAATTGTAACAGGTCCTATCTCCGTAATTATTATTATTATTATTATTATTATTATTATTATTATTATTAACTTTGATTTCTGGTGTATACTCATTTCTTTCCGGGTCCCAACCAGAGACCCAAAGTCAGAAATGGCATCATGACATTTTCCAATGAGCATTTTTATTATAAAAAGATAAAAAACCTAAGACACAGATTTTACATAGATAAAGCTCTTCGTAAGGTGTGAGCTGTATTATTATTATTATTATTATTATTATTATTATTATTATTATTATTCGATACGCGGGTAGTAAAGGTCATCGGCATAGAAAGTGAAATCGTCGACGGGTAACAAAATATCATTGTTAGATACTGTATGTTTTACGCTGCAGTTTGTTTTTAAATAATCGCCACCGTTGAGTACACGTTTCACCATCAATCAAACGGTGTCTGTATGTCGGACCCGGAATCTGGCTCGTCCCGCACAACACTGTATCCACTACTGAAAGGCGTTGCCCATTAACAGTAATCTTTAAGTCACCGCAAATCCACAAGACCTTCGTCAGTATCCTCGCAATGCCATGGTATGTCGAAGTCAACCATGTCAAAGGTTTCCAGTTTTTGTAGCACAATTCCGAATGAAACTATTATTATAGATAAAATACTAATTCATTACATTTTTATCCTACCGAGGAAGGTCCTGGTATTTCTGTAATGTTTTCTTTTTCATTCATATTCTCTCTATCGTCCATTGGCATCACCTCTTCCAGGTTTTGGAAGAATTATATTTTTTACTCGTACATAATTATTCCATTAGTATTCTTTCTTGGAAAGTGTGTCGAAATCACCCTAACCCAAGGACAAATACTGTTTGGTGACGATACCATTTGTCTACATGTCAAATCCATTTTTTTGCACATTACACATTGTATGACTTTTGCTACACACTCATGCTTTTTTTATATTCTTTTTGTTTTAGTTTGCTTTATTTACTGTTCATGTGTTTTACCGTTTTTGCACTAACGTGGAATCATGTTCTCCCATTCACTTGTCCTCCATGTAGTCAAATCTTGGATTTTTCAAACATCATATATTTTACATGAACTTCTTCAACATCTGCTAATGACATGTTTGTGGAAACTGATTGTACGTGAAGCGAAAGTGCAATAGAAAAAGTCAGATGTTGCTTAAAGCAGCAGGTGCTAGGAAGTTGTGGAGAACTACTACCACCTACATCCTGAAGAAAAATAAAATCTGACAACTATTTTTTTTCTTTCCTGTTTGCATAATACATACCTACTTCTCACATTTTATTTTCTTGAAAATCTTATGAGAAGGACAAAGTTGAAATGTCAAGATCTAAAACTCCAGGAAAATATTTTTATTAAATAAAAACAACATTCCCTCTGTCAACCAAAGAATTGGTTTTGTGAACTGAATATGATATGTTTATGATAAAATGTACTTTCAACGTTTATTTTTAAAACGCGTATATTTCCATTTATTTGTTTTCTGTTTGTTTCAGAGTCTATGTGCACAATAATTTTATTTATTCACCTCAATCGAGTTCAGATAAGCGAGGAGCGATAACCAGTTACTTCATTGTATTCTTTCCTTATTTTTATTCTTTTCTTTTTGGGAGCTCCTATTTTCGTACAAACTACGATAGCCAATATTAGTTTCAGATTCTATGTACACAATAATTTTATTTATTCACCTCAGTCGAACTCAGATGAGTGAGGATCGATAACCAGTTACTTCATTCTATTTTTTTCTTCATTTTTATTCTTTTCTTTTTTGGGAGCTCCTATTTTCGTATTAGTTATCGTAGTTGATAACTAATGTTAGTTTCAGAGTCTATGTGCACAATAATTTTATTTATTCACCTCGGTCGAGCTCAGATATGTGAGGAGCGATAACCGGTTAATTCTTGCTATTTTCTACTTTATTTTTTATTCTTTTCTCTTTATTTCTTGGCGATGGAGCTCCTATTTTGGTACCAACTACGATAGCCTTTTTTTTCTTTTTTTTTTTTTTGATTAAAAAAAAAATCCGTTTTTATCTTTTCGTTTTAATTTCTTATTACACTGCTTCGGACATCTTTTGTGTTCTGATGATTCCACCCGCATTTTCTTCTTTTTTTTTTCATGTAATTTACGTCATCTTCAATATGTGAAACCAGAATCCGGAGTAACATATTCCATCGATCCATTTATCTCATTTCTTCTTTAGTCCAGGCGATGTACATTAACGTGTTTCTTAATATCGATACTGCCCAGGTGTTCGTTCGTTTTGTCAGAATTCTCTTATTTAGTTTTGCTTTCAGGTATTTTTCTTCGCTTGCTAATATATTTTTCGCCTCCTAAAATATTCAGTTCTTTCTTTCATTTTTCCCGCTTTACTAAGTCACATTCGACTCGCCCGAGGTACTTATAAAGATCCTGGGTTGTTAATGTTTTTATCGTCTCGTTATCTTGTACATCGATTCCTCTTGTTTTTCACTCTTCATTTGTTTATCCCGAATTCCATTCCGGTGTGGGCGTCGCTGCAGATTTCAGCTCTTCTGATCTGTATGCAGAATTCTTTGTTAATATTTGCAAATTTTATGTTATCCATTCATGAACTGGTTGAATTTTCCCTTGTATTTGAGAATTGGCATATTTTGCATTATTTTATTTGATGAGCTGATTCGTTTTGTTTTTTTTTGTCTTTTTTTACGGCTTAGCAACCCTTTGTAGGTTATTTATATCCAGAAAATATATTTAGATTTAAAAAATTTTTTTTGGAGATAATAATTATTTAGTGATACAAGCCTTGCTAATTAATCCATAGCTGAGGGAAGAAGTAGTGGAGTCATACCTTTTCCAGTTGTATTTGCGCGTAAATGAATATGACAAGCCCAACAGGAATTGAAACCCTACTCACCGATTAACGATTCCGTGCCATTATCCATTACACCTCCAGTACACCCAAGCTTACAGCACCTGGTATTCCCTAGTGGTTACCCACCAAGTACTAATCAGATTCGATGTTGCTTAAATTCGGTGATTGTACGGGAACCTGTGTTTCAAGCTGATGTGGCCGTAAGTCATTGCAGTTTTTTAATATTATATTCAGTGATGTCATGCCTATGAGAACTGATTGCGAGAAAAAAAAAACTTTTCTTGGAAAATTCCTCTTTTGGTATGATTTCTGATATTAAGTCTTGTTTGATCGTTAGGATGAATTGCCAATGTTAAGAATTACACCAGTGGTTCGGCAGTCTTGTTATACTGAATCGTTCAAATAGCCAATGACTTTATGTGTATTTAATTCTTCTAATCACCATAAAGATCCTTCGCTGCTCGCCATTAGAATGTCTGATAGTCAACTTCTTGAGAGCAACTCTCTGCGTCTGCTCGTTCTCACGTTGACTGCTAACCTGAGATGGAACAAATACATTGAGTCAATTGCTTCGTCCACCGCGAGGAAAGTTGGCTCTCTGTGCCGCGCCAGGAAATTTTTCTATCCGGAATCGATACTTCAAATATAGAAATCAACCTTTCGACCTTGCATGGAGTATTGCTGCCATATATGGCCCGGGGCACCTTCTGTTTACCTCGGAGTTCTTGACAAGATCCAGAGGTGGATATGTAATATAACTGGCCCTGATCTGGCGTCTCGTCTACAGTCACTCTCTCACAGACACGCCGTCGCCTCTCTCTGTCTTTTCTACAAATACTTTCATGGTAATTGCTCCGATGAGCTGCATTCGCTAGTTCCCAGACTCCATGAATTCAAGCGCCCTACGAGGCTGGCATCTCGCTCTCACCCTTTCACTGTAGAAACTTTTTAAATGTAGCCGTCTCTTCTACTCCAATAGTTTCATATATCGCACCTCTCGCCTGTGGAACACCCTTCCCTATTACTGTTTCCCTGAGATCTATAATCTCCAACTATTCAAATGTAATGTCAATCGACATCTCCAGTTACCTTGATCTGTCCACTATCCTTCTCCTCATCCTTTCTTCTATCACTCCTATCTGCTCTCACTCCAAATCTTCTGCAACCCCCTGCATCCTAGTGGCTTCCCGCCTTGCTCGGGGCGTAATGCTTAAAAATAAATAAATAAATAAGGTTTTCTTTCATGGCTTTACTTTCTTGAAAACAATATGGTCAAAGAATTTCAAGTAATTTAGACCCTTTGTTTCTTCTACTGCATCCATTGCAATCTCTTGCTAATAATTCTCAAAAAACCCGTACACCTCAGTTAATTGTCTTGTTAATTGATCTATGTAGCGAAATGATCCAAACACAACTAAAAGTCCTACTAAGATGTGTTATTCATCATGACGGTCGTCTTCGAGTATAGAATCCAGAGGTTAACAATGAATATTTCGAAGACAGTAGGAAAGTGTTGTTCAGGTTAGCAGTGGATATTTCGATAAAAGTAGCAGAGCATAGTTCGTCCTTCTGGTTCTCTTCGCCTGACAAGCTAGACTGGACATTCGGGTAGAGTGAACAAAAATGGCCGCCTTTATACACGACGGATTGAATGTTCTACGTCTTCTGATTGGTTAACCTTTTATTGGTAGACTATAAAGTGAGTCAAGGCATTTGGACTAACTCACTAGTACATATATATACACAAAAAACTGCAACAAGATGTATTATTAACAGGTATAATCTTAACAACAAAAGATACACAGATCATACCGTGTTAATTGCAGAACTGCAGGAACTCGTAGACAAAGTAGAAAAACTAAGCGGAAAAAGGACGAACCATCAAATGAAAAAAAAAGAAGAATATATGGTCGTTAGCAAAAAAGAAAATCCCATGGTGCGAATTATTAACCGGTAACATGAAAAAGAAGTAAGTACAGAAATTTAATCATTTGGGAAGGGTTATAACAAACGATAGAAATGTCTCGCTGGAATAGCGAAAGATGCCTTCCAAAAGCTAAGCAAAATATTAAGAAGTGGAAAAAATCGTTAGAAACAAAGAATAGAGTGCTGAAGATTTTTCCATTGGCATCCTCCAAGATACAATCTCAGGCAAAAGAAAAAAAGTAGCTGACAACGTCACTGAGTGAACTGGAAGATATTTCATAGACACTAAGATATTGACACACAAAAGAAACATATAGAGGAAGATGGGAATACCTCGAAGTGGTTTTTTGGTTAGCAAGCTTGTCAAGCTAGAACAATAACGAATGCATACTAAGCTCATTCCTCACTGGGCATCCGATAATTTTTGGCCTTGTGCCACATCTAAACTATGATTAGAAAATCACCGTATAGAGGGAGATAATCAGGTGCTCACTTGCGCAACCGCCCCTTGTCATCAGGTTGATTATTATTATTATTACTTTTATCGCTGCTATAGCCACTTCATTTATTATTATTAAAGCGACTTCATTTATTATTATTATTATCATTATTACTTTTATTGTTGCTATAGCCACTTCAATTGTTATTATTATTAAAGCGACTTCATCTATTATTATTATTATTATTACTTTTATCGCTGCTATAGCCACTTCATTTATTATTATTATTAAAGCGACTTCATTTGTTATTATTATTATTATTATTATTATTATTACTATTACTACTATTATCGTTGCTATAGCCACTTCATTTATTATTATTATTAAAGCGACTCCATTTATTATTATTATTATTATTATTATTATTATTATTATTACTACTACTACTACTTTTATCGTTCCTATAGCCACTTCATTTATTATTATTAAAGCGACTCCATTTATTATTATTATTATTATTATTATTATTATTACTACTACTACTTTTATCGTTCGTATAGCCACTTCATTTGTTATTATTTTTAAAGCGACTTCATTTATTATTATTATTATTATTATTATTATTATTACCATGTCCATTTATTATTATTATTATTATTATTACTACTACTACTACTACTTTTATCGTTGCTATAGCCACTTCATTTATTATTATTATTAAAGCGACTTCATTTATTATTATTATTACTACTACTACTACAACTACTACTACTATTTTTATCGTTGCTATAGCCACTTCATTTATTATTATTAAAGCGAATTCATTTATTATTATTATTATTATCATTATTAGTTTTATTGTTGCTATAGCCACTTCGATTATATTATTATTTAAAGCGACTTCATTTATTATTATTATTATTATTATTATTATTATTACTACTACTACTACTTTTTTATCGTTGCTATAGCCTCTTCATTTATTATTATTAAAGCGACTTCATTTATTATTATTATTATCATTATTACTTTTATTGTTGCTATAGCCACTTCAATTATATTATTATTTAAAGCGACTTCATTTATTATTATTATTATTATTATTATTATTATTATTATTCAGGCGTTAATGCTGTCTTGTTATCACTATCATAACCAGTGATTCTGCTGCCATTTTAAAATTATTATCAGAATTTGTATTTCACTAGTTATTGCTGCGGCTTTTGATGCTCTTCTCTTTCTTTGTTTTCATTATTTCCTCCATTTTCTTTTGACGTTTTCTTCCATGTCAAAATGTAAGCTTCCTTCCTTTGACATTTCAACTTACCGGAGCCGCCGCCGCTACGCCGAAAACCAAGAAGAGACGTCACTTTGTTTCCTGCTCCAGAATTCGAATCTTTCATCACATTCATTCAAATGTCTGGCTGAGATGTTGCAAGATCAAAGCAATTCCATCATCGCTGTCGACACAAGCATCAACATTGTTCTCATGCTTCTTTATTGGTGATACGCCGAATCAAGGAAAGGAAAAAATGTGGTATCGCTGTTCCACATTATATTGGTCGTAAGTTCGAGAAGCATACATTTGTTACTCACGAAGGTAACATAATCATAATGGTAACAACATAAGATAATCAGATAATACACTATTGATAGCAGGACACAGAAAGGAAACTACAAGAACTCCTACTAAAGCTCGCAAACGAAAGCGGGAAGAAAGGACTAATCATCAATTGTAAGAAGTCAAAATGTATACTTGTCAGCAAAAGGGATAGCCTAATGTGCAAATTACAAACTGGAGATACCAAAACCAAGCAGTTGAAATATCTGGAAAGTGTTTTAACTGTGAATGCAAAACCTAACTACAAAAGGCGCATTGGCAGAGAGAAAGATCCCTTCCAAATGTTAAGCAAAGTATTAAGAAACTGGATAATTTCCATAGAAACAAAGAAAATATTTACTGAACTGTAATGTAATAACAGACCGTTTATATCATAATTTATGCCCGAAAATCTCCTCACAGTAATATGGTTCTACAGAAGTCTTCTGAGAATACCATAGATCAGGAGTCGGCAACTAATTCGACCCCGCGGGCCGGATCGTGTTATAATGACGGGTCGCGGGCCAGACGAAGGACATTAATGAAAAATTAAAAAAAAAACTACATATGCAGACCCCTGTCAACCTAAATATTTAAAACCATAATGAAAATAAACATTGAGAAATTAGAAAAACAAAAGAAAATCTAAAATTAAAAAAACACCTAACAAAAATTACTTTTCCTATTACTTTTCCTCAAGGAACGTCAAAATACTTCAAAGTGAAAAAAATCAACCGAAGTGAAATGGATGAAATTATGACGTGTAGGTTTGAAACTCTTATTGAAAATTGTTCCACAAACGAACCACACACACACATCAAACAAAATCGAAGCACATATACCCATACATACGAGTACAAATAGTTGCAAACACATACACTTGCGTACGTACACATGCGGTATCATCCACACATTAATGAGGCATGTATGTATAATGCGCGTATGTTTAACTGTCCTTAGATTTTTGCTACTTCGCATGTCAGTCCCTCCCTTGCCTCTTTCACTTTATCGTTCCTTTCGCTTCTGTTATCATTTAATGTAGCCAAGGGTCATAACAAATATGTATCCATTATTTGACATTAAACGTAGGCAACACAAGACATTCTATGGAAAATGACCTATAACATTTGAAGGTCGTCTCTCGTGTTAAAAATAGAGTCATTGGTAATCAGGCTCGCGAGCCAGTCAAAATGCCTTCGCGGGCTGGATCCGGCCCCCGCGGGCCGTAGGTTGCCGAACCTTGCCAGAGATGGAACACGTGAGCAAAGATGAACTTTTAGAAAAAATGGAAACAAAAAAAGAACACTTATGCTTAACATGAGAAAGAGACAGTTCAAATTTCTAGGTTACATGATATGAAAAAGGGGGCTTGGACAATTTGACACTCACAGGACATATTGAAGGCAAGCGGGACAAATGAAAAACGGCGCAAAACCTACCTAACGAGCTTGTGTATTTACACAAGATCGTTATGTAGGTTTGCAGAACAGGGATAGAATAGATAACAAAAATACAAAATTTACTAAGAGCTACAAAGGATAAGTAATGGTGGAGAGGCATAATCACCAAGGTCTTCAAGAGACACGTCACATAGACGAGAAAAATAGAAAAAAAATACTATATATCACATAAAATGTTCAGATTGCGACATTACATAGAAATTAGATGGTGTTCTATCGAAAAATAAACTCCCCCTAATGTCAACCCAGTGTCATCTGCTATTGAGAAATAAATGCTTGAATAGAAATTTTAAAAATGTCTCAGTAACGATGTGTCCTGGTAAATATAATATCATTCCTGCAATATCTTTGTCCAGATACCGTCAGAAAAATAGTTTCCAGTAAAAGTACGTGTTTAACTTATTCAGCATCTTGATGGGCACAAAAACCGACGCTACTGTAAGAGTATTGTGGAACTGTTCTAGAGTATCTAGTACTCTTTCAGCACAAATAAGTGAACAACTAACTAAATAATAAACAATAATAATTTTTTGAATTAATATAATTAACACGTTATCAAAAATCAGTACTAACAAATAATTTAAAGAAATTACCCCACTTGTCTGCCAAAGAATTTCAGCTAACAATCACTAGATGCCATTGCCAAAAGCAGTATATAAGACAATAGCACAAAAGTCTTACTCTCGTCCTTTTTCCCCTCAGGATGCCTTAGAGACAAGACATATCTTGTTTCCCTTTGGGGGACCTTGCGGTCCCAGGTAAGCATCATGTCACATTGAATACAATACAGTATAGTACGTAGCATATAATAACCTAAGCTTACTTGATTACACATAGACATTAATAATACTAATAAACCAACAGATGAAGAGCTTTTATCAAATGTAAATCTCCCATAGTCTTTAAAAGGAACTCCATACATATATATCTATAATAAGAACATTTTTACATATACCCCTGGCACCTCAGGCAAGCTGAACTTCAGCAGTGTTACAATTATAAATTTTTTTTTTTTAATTTTCACATGATGGCACCCCAGCTGACTTCCCAATTTGTCACACTAAGCAAGGCAATAAAGCCACTAGGATACAAGAGATTACTGAGTGTCAGAGGATATGAAAAAAACTACTATTAAAGAGAGAGGACAATAAAAGCGTAAGAATAACACAAGATAACGATTGATATTTCATTCAAATTTTGGAAGATCAAAGTTGACTGGTAAGCAAGTAGGTGAAAGAGTTTATTTCTATTTTTCTTACTGAGGCAAACTGTTAAGGCAGTTGATCCTTTAGGACCAAAATATTTTTTGCATGATGTTATATTGGCAAAATGTCTTCTCAGCAGATCTATTATTTAAATCATCAGCAGTGTCTGAAGAACCAAGACAAAGAAATTTCTTGTCAGATATCTCATAAGTATTACCATTGCTTTCAATGGTTGCAGCACTGTTTACAAACTGTGTTGAATCATTCTCCAAGTAAGAACAAAGGTATTGTAGAGTAGCTAACACCCCTTCAGCACTCTATCAGATGGTTTGGTCCATAGCCTTAAATACTCTACGATTAGGGACTTCAACATTTGATTGATAATTTGATACTAAGCTGATTAATATTCGAACTGATTTTACTTCGTTTTGCTATACAGTATTTGACCCTCCTCTATTCCTTGTAAGTTGTCTTGTTAATTGTTTTGTAACTTATTATTCAGTGTTCATTTTTTTTATGTATTCATTAGCACCGGATGCTGGTGCTGAATAAATATATTAAGCATTCATTCTTATCTGTCTATCATTCACCTCGACGCTACAACAGTAACAAAGAAAACAATTATAACGTTTAAACATATATAAAAATTAGAATACTTCTCCAATATCTACAGCAATCAAAGTAATTTGATGAGTAAAAGATTCGTTCCTCCTGTAGAACTGAGAAAAATTTAATATATGATTTTTTTCTCTTCAGATATTTTAACAAATGTTACAGATTTGAAATTTACTGTCACCCCACCTCCAGCAGTAACCACATGATAGTTAATGAAATAATAATAATAATGATAATAATAATAATAATAATAATAATAATAATAATATAATCTTTTTTAAAACTCTGTTTAATTATGTGGAGGTAACAAAAATATCAATCATTGGTTACAGCCCGACATTTGATTATAAAAGAAATGCAGATCAAAAAGAATTTTGAAAATAATAATAATAATAATAATAATAATAATAATAATAATAATAATAATAATGATAATAATAATGAAAATGCTTTTCGAAAAAGCTTCTTTATCGAATTGGCTGTTCTGTGTCAAGTTGAGGAAAAAAGAAAAGTTTATGAAATACAGCGACCCCTAGGATAAATTTACCAGAATGTGGGACACTCTTGTCCCAGTTATCAATGGGGCACTTGTGTGTATACCACTAGCCGTTTACTCCATTGTGTTTGAAGTCTGGCACTGCAAATATCGTGCGAAAGTTGTTAGCTGAATGAGGTCGTATGATTTAATAGGGAAAACCCATAATTAAATGAAAAAACAGTCCGAGGGAATAATAATAATAATAATAATAATAATAATAATAATAATCAGTCATAAACCTTTCAGCTGTTCTTGTGGTACAGTACCGTTTCAACATCCTTAATTGGACCACAGCTGACATTAAGCGAACGCATGTCAAAACAGCTTCTCACTTGACACCACATGCAACATCCTCAGGCTGATGTTGATCGTCTGTATGTGTCCAGATCCAATAATAATAATGATAGTAATAATAACAACAATAATAATAATAATAATTCTGCTGCAAAACATAACGTAATGAATATTTTGCATTTTTACAGTTTTCAGTTTGATGCAATCCGGTAGTCTCCTTAAATTGATCAGCAGAAAATTCTGAAACCCTAACTGCAGACACACAAAAAAAAAGAAAAGAAAATTGAAGAAAATGCATACGGCTCTACACCTCTGAATGGTGTCAACAGGATCTATGTAAAGAGAAAAGATGGAGGAAACAGTCCAATCAGTATTAAGAGTTGCACCAAAGCGAACAGAACATTGTACAGAAACCAAGTAGGCGTAATAGCAAGAAAGTAAAACTAGACGAGAAACAAGTACTTCGATATTTAGACATCAAATCAACGGAACATCTTTTAAATCGATATAAATGTATTTAAGTATGAGAACTCAATCTACTGGAAAATAAGCAAAAATGACCATATTTTTCGATGGAAAACAATTTTCTTTACACAGATAGAACCTGTTCTTGGCGAGGAAACAAAGTTCACTTGAATGTTGAGATTGAAATATTTGTTTATCACAGAAATCCATACGGTTTTTTCTATGTTATTTAAATTAACACCAAAAATATATCCAGCTTATCTAAAAACACTTGTCCAAAATATATTTTGTCGCTTTCTTTTCTCTCACTATTAAATCGACAAAATGAAG